ACTTATTAGCCGTTAATGCGCGTCTTGCAATTCCACTCACACCTCAAAGTAATTTATATAAATCTATAACGTTATCCTTATTTTTAGCATAGATTATTTTCAGTAATACATTTGACTTACATGTATATTTTGCATTTAAGATAATAGGAACCGAGCACCAGCCCCTCCTACTACTAATAATCATACTGAAGCTCCGATTCATATTCAACCACCAAGATCAAGTTATCAGCCCAATCATGGAAACATTGACCCTTCATTGCAACATAGATATCAGAACCACATAGCTAATAGGTACTAATCACAGTTATAGATACATTGGTTGCACAGCGAGAGCTAAATGTTCTTACAAGTTAAATATATACATACACAAACAGTCGCTTCTTACTGTACTCCGTGTACGCTAAGTGCATGACTAGACATGCAGCCAAAACAACTCCCTTCACTGCACCGCTTGCCATTTTCACTGTTTTGACTTTTGAAAACGGGTAGTTCCAACTGTAAACAGTCCTGCCTATGTTCGCGCACTTATTTCTCTAATAATAGAACTCACTTCAAAGCGTTGTCAATTACGGTCACCAAATAGTTTAGGTTAGACCAGTAGTCCTCCAATAGCTTTCCGTTGTTGCAATCATAGTACTATGTCTGTACCAATAGTATTCGTTTAGTATATTAATATAATTTATGGTAATTATTTAACTGTAATTGATTTGGCTGAAATATATAAATAAATACAAGTATACTAGACATCAAATCTAACATGTTAACAGAATATATTTTAATTTTTCCTAAATTTATTTTACAGACATCCAGCTAATCATTTGTCAAATAATATGCCTTCCCATGTAGTCATCCGTGGAGGTGTTGTTCAAGAGCCAAGGTCTGACAACAGAAGACAAGTCAACCATAATATGGGTGCTTTAAACTCCAACACAATGTACCAAGCTGCTCCACAACAACCTCCTAACATAGCTGTAAGTTTACAAATTAGTTAAAACCAAATATTTAAACTTTTAAAGATATATGTTCTTAATCATAGCTAAAATTATTTTGTAGTTGCCACGTCATCAGATGGGTATGGATGGTCATCCAAAACATAGTTGAGAACAAGCTAATTGTTCGTGCACACAATGTACTTCACTTCTAGCTGATTACGTCTGGAAACGTCTTACTTGAAATTTAACTAAATATGTCTATTCTTCAGAAAAAATGTCTTTATTATTCTTAATGTATGTTTAAAACAGTTTTAAAATTCAGTTTAAGAATAATTGGGGAGGATGTATTTTTTTAATTTTAAATGGAAAATATCAATTGTCATCTTAAATAAGAAAAAATGAAAATGTTCACTTTTCACTCAACACAATGTATGTTAATTTAATACATATACTTAAGTCTTGAAATATTTACTATCAATATTATCAATTTGTAATGTGGTTAATAAGTTAAATTTATTTAAAATTTAAAATTTAGAGGCATTTAATATCTACCTTAAATACATATTATGTATTTTACAGATACTTTTGTCCAATAAATAAAATGGAATATACTATTATTCAATAATAACTATTTTAAAATGACCCATCTTTTAATTCTCATGATAAGTTAGTAAAAAAAATGATTTTGATTTCCTAGTTAATCAATTTTTTTAATTCAATTAATAGTTTTTATATTTAAAATCAAATTTTCATTTTTGTATCTTGTTTTTAAATTTGTTTCTTATTTTTCAACCTAATTAGTTAATATAATAATAAATTGTTAGGTAATATACAATGTTTCATTTGTTGTTGATTTTTATTTGTGCTGTAATGGTTGTACTTAAATTATGGCAATAAAATTTTTTTTTTAATGTGTTGCGTTGCGATCTCTTTTTATATTTTTTGATTATAACTCGTGGATGGAGACATTACAATTTTTCAATAATATTGTTTATTTTTAATTTCTAAATAATATAGTGTAGATGTTATATTATTATATATAAGACCATAAATTGTAATTAAACTTTTCATTTATTTGTATCTACACATTTGTTATAATAATTAGTTATTAATTAACCAAACTAATGATTCAACTAAAAAGAGTAAATACTATTTGTATCAAATAAATGTTAACAATTTGACCATTTTTGATGTATGAATTTCATACATGAAATAAATTTTATTTAGATTTTACATTCATTGAATTGTAACTTTTTTTAAATTAAGATGTTATGAAATGTATGAAGATTTTGATTATATTTTACATTTATTATTACATTTAAAAGTTTTTTTTAGAGCCCATGAACCTAATTCTCTGATTGGACAAGTGTTCCAATAGGTTTAATTTAAGTGTTAAATAAAACTTCCGTACTTAGTCTAGGTGTTATAATATACTTTGCTGTACTTAGCCATTTTTAATGCACATTTTATGTTACATTGTTTTTGTTATAATATGTTGTACACCTATTTAGATATTTAGATGTTAAAGACATTTTGATTTTTTGTTTTGTTTTTTTCTTTTCATATAATATGTAACTTATGCATTTGCTGTTTCACAATCTATTACACTAACAAATTAATATAATCTTGTTTTTGGCGATTAAAAATATTATAATAGTATAAAAACAGTAATTAAATCAACTGTGTATTATTCTATTATTCAATTTCTTGTTAAACTGTTGTTGGGGTATTGTATCATTAAGTTGATGGATTTTGACTTTTCTAAACCATATAAATTTTGTACTTTCTACTGTATTAAAATTTTCTATTATCAAAAAACAGGCCCCTGAACTCAATACAACAAAATCATTGTTATGATAATATGGGTGTAGTAAATGAATGTAAATTGTATTCATATTTAATATTGAAGGTATTTGTTCATACAAATTATAAATTTGTTCATGCTCAGTACTATGAACATACTAATATAGATCATAGGCATTATACATAATATTTAAGATTTTTTGTTACCGGGATTCAGTTTTTCAAGGATTTTGCACTACATACTTAATCATACTATTACAATTGCAAATATGAGATTTGAATATAATTTTTTCATATCATTTTCCTCAATGTGTGTTGAAGGTCATATGTTGCCTTGCATTCAACCTTGTACTTATTAGATATTAACTAGTAAGTAACAAATACTAATGTTTATTTATTTTTGATATCTGTTATGTCGAGTATGGTAGGCTATGAGGCAATAAATATATTCCATATTTCCAATGTTCTAATAATAATACTGCAGAACAAGCAAAAGTTAAGTTTAAACTTTAAAGTATACATAGCCAAGTAGGGATACCTCTTATATGTTTTTCATGCATATAAAATATGTTTACTATAACTATTATAGGTCATTTTTTCACTTGTATTGATCTTCTGATCCTGAATGACTGAATGCAGTAATAACTCACATACAGAGCATCTTCACATGTTTCCATGAGTAGGCTTGAAGAAGTCACCTTTATTTTACACCGGTCTATCTCAATAGTAAGGGATGGTTAACGTTAGGGCTGACATAGTTGATTCTGAGCAGAGTAATAAAAAAAAGCTGTAGCTATTAATTTTACAATTTTTTTCGTATGATAAAAACCTTGAAAAATTGATAAGGTTTTGAATAAATTACAATTGGTGTAATTTAAAAAAAACGTACTCGGTTTTTTTGGGTTCATACTAATTGCGTCCCGAATTTTTTTAAGTTTCATAGGTACCAATTGAGTCTCGTATATTATAAAAACTAAACAATATTTCCCTTCCCGTTTTTATATAAACTTAGGACTGTCTGTAGAAATAGTTATTACTACAGATAGGTTAAAAATATTGTTTGCGCTTATTGTATTATTTTTTGTAATTTTAACAAAATATTATAATAATAATAAAAATTTAAAAGAAAACTTTTTTATTAATTCAAACCTACTAATTTTTTTTATTGAAAATCTGCCAGGGCTTGTTTTAAAAATTGTTCTTTATTAATTATCAAGGTTGTGAGGTTGTTTAAGTTAATGCTACGTTGTTTTATATAAATAACAGTTTATATAAGATATAACCTCTTCAGAGTATCGATAAATTGAAAAATGTTTGGATGTGCATATTATAAAACATAGCGTTGAGCTTAGAATGAAAAGCTACACAACTATTTATAGTTCTCACAGTAGTTGCCGAGTATTCTGACCATGTTATGAAGGCTATACTAAGACAATAAGGCATAACTAGATTCCGGTAGCATACAGCGTTATTTTTTAAGCATGCTCGCCCCATTTTTATGTTTAAATTATTAATATATTCCAATTCTGATTTTTGGAATTTTTAAGTGTAGTTAAATACGATATTTTCGTGTACTTCGATTTTTCACAACATTTAAGGATTATCCTATGGCAATACCAACTTTTGTTTTTCAAAATACAACCTATATGTTTTAGAGCAAAATGTGATTTAGATCATTTTTCTGAACATTTTGACGTATTGTAATCGAAATTTGAACTAAAACTTGCTTAGTTATCCTTCTTTACATACTAATAAGGAATAAGGATCTAGACTATTAATAAATCTTGACTATTATATTAAAATGGTTTGTAAAATGGATATGAGCTCGATAATTGTAATTCGGTATGCAATATAAGATATTTGTCAATAATTACTACCTAACCGAATTATAATCGAGCTCGTAAAAATTCACAAAGTATTTAGTTTTTAATATATTACTATCCGTATTCCTTAGTATGTAAAGAAGAATAACTAAAGAAGTTTTCGTTCAAATTTCGATTACAATACCCCAACATTTTCAGAAAAATTATCAGAATCATATTTTGCTTTAAAACACATAGGTTTTTATTTGAAAAACAAAAGTTGGTATCGCCACAGGATAATCCTTAAATGTTGTGAAAAATCTAAGTACACGAAAATATCGTACTTAACTATACTTAAAAATTCCAAAAATCAGAATTTGAATATATGCATAATTTAAGCATAACAATGGGATGATGGGGTATTGGTACCTACTTCATAATTTGAAAATAACTGAAAGTAAAATTTATTTTGTAAACCATCAAATATAATATTTTTATGATACAATGGTGCATATAGGTATACGGTATACTACATTACACATATACTTACACTAACATCGGTATACACGAGATACATTATAACTTACAACTGTAACAGAGGTAATATCTGGTATAGGCATATTAAATGAAAGACTAATATAATAAGACTAATATAAAGTATATATTTTAAAAGTAGTTACCATTTATTTTGATGTGTACAAAAATATGTTTATAATAATATAATATAATATGCTCCAAAAATCGTTAATTTTAAATCTATACAGTATGCTATAATAACATCTTGGCGTGATTAGGATCAGAATTATTACCTAGGTACGCATAAATGATTTGTTTTCTAGTATTCATAGGATTTGTTACAAAAAAAAACGACGAAAATCAATTAATTTTCTACTTATTATAATTTAAGGCTATACGATACAACATAACACGATAACTACAGTAAAGCGTAAAATAGTTATTCCCACGCGGATGTGAAATAAAATTTGATCGATTATTATAATATAACATATTAATAAGTACTGATTTTTAGTCATATGGGTATAATATCTCTACAACTACCATTGGCTATAATCAATGCTACTAGCTACTTACCTAATTATGTAATATATTTAAGAAGACGCCACAACCAGGTGTGTTGTCTCCGTCTTACACACGTACAACATGGTAAATTTTATGATCACAATAATACATTATACTTCTTAAATTCTAAAATTACAGTGAATATTTACCAGTTATAAAATTTAAAAGTAAGATTATTATCTAGGGAATCTCGGAGACTTTCATTGATATTTTGAAAGAAGCTATGATCTTTTTGAAACTGTACTTTTTGGTTTTTGTAAATTTTAAAATTATCATTAGTTACTTAAAAAATATAATATCAACATTATCCTCCGGAATGCCCTCGATAATAGTCTGCCCTTTAAATTGTATCATGGGTCATATCATTCACTCTAATTTTAAAATAACAGAGTAAAATTAATTATTGTTTACGTGAAATGTGCCATGTTGTACGTTTGTAAGACAAAGACAAAACATGTGGATGTGGCTTCCTCTTCATAGGTACATTCGATATTCCAATATTTTACTTAATAGTTACATTATGATGTATTACAATCAGTGGGGTGGACAGGATTTCCTTTTAGGGGCTGATAATTTATTATGTAGAGGGATGTAAAATGGGATTACTATTCCAATTATAGGATACCCCTCGCATTAGTTTGCTGATGATGTGTGGATCGATGACATTTTAAAGTTTTGAAACAACCCTCGTAAAAATGATAATTTTAATACTCGATGATTGCTTCTAACGCGTTTACAGAACACTGGAGGCATTTTTAAATTTTTCAAAAATTCTAGGAGGGACGCAGCCCCTTCAGTAACTGAATCTACGAGAATACGAAGTATGAAAACAAATCAAGTAGTACAATTATCGTATAATGTATACACTATAGGCTATATGTTGATATAACACTAATTACATAATATGTTCAGAGGTTCGCCCGTATGTAACAATACGTAATCTAAATTTACACAATATTTATATATTATATTATAAGTAAATTATAAATGTATAGGTATAAGTTATATACTGTAATTCGTGAAAGATAATTAATAATAATAGTTATTATAGTAATGATAATATAAAATATAGATCAGTGTACAGTATGGTATTACAAGTGTTGCGGGTGATCGTCCGAAACCGGAAACGGCCGCCAGGGCAGTCGCAGCAATTGCTGCAGAGGCTGAAACAGTAGGTGGGTGTCCAGTGCGGGATGCCTTGGACGACGTCTTGCTGACGAACGGTTCCACGTTTGTCTTGTTGTAGTTGGCATAGTACCAGTCGCTCGCGGAACTCGTCTTGAACGGCGTCGACTGGAACGCGTCCGTTGACCTGGTAGGCGGTGGCAGTTGGTACGCCTGCTGATGGTTGTTGGTGCCACTCTTCGGGTACTTAGGGTCTTCTGCCACTGCTGTATGGGGCCTCTGGTGCTGGGGCTGTTGTTGTGGTTGCTGTAGCTGTTGCTGTTGTAGCGGTTGCTGTTGCTGCGGCTGGCCCTGTTGACCGGGCGGGCTCAACGTCACTTTCATGATGGACGGCTTGCCGGTTACTACTACGCCGCCACCGTCTTTGTGCGACGCCGGAACCTGGCCACCAGTCCCATCTTTGTGCACCGGAACCTGACCACTGGTTCCATCTTTGTGCACCAACACCTGACCACTGGTTTCATCTTTGTGCACTGGCAGCTGACCACCGGGTGCTAAGAAACCCGTCAGAGACGACGGCGTGGACACGTTGACCGCTTCGGAGGCCGCTCCGGTCGTACCGGGCGCCGTCGTCGACGCTGCTGCGGTGGCCGGCTGCGTGACGGCAGAAAATTGGCGCTGTTGTTGGGTCGCCGAGCTCGTCGTCGCTGGTCCCACTGCGAACACACAACTTTACGGGTGTAGGTACATTAAAAAGTAATTGTCACAAGGGCACGCCTAACTTAATCTGCTGTGGGATAGGTAACGGGGGAGATATGTATTGAGAATAAAACGATTGCGATGAAAATAAAAAATTCTATAAAGTGTGCTGCTTTAAAATATATATGATACATGTTTACACTACCTGTGAAGTAAGTCGCAAAAGTCAGTTTAGTCTCAGTTTCACTATCTGCTGATTAATATAATATAGTACTGGTTTTTCAAACGTAATCTGTCCATCTAAATGTATACTCTTAATCTCAATTTTTATTTACTATTGTTGGAAAAACCGCATTTAAATTGTATAATGAAGTCTGGTCTCCCCACAGAGTTGCTTTTAGCGATAGATTCTGGACTATTTGGACAAACTGTCAAGTTTAAAGCTACTTGATAACTCAAATATTTTATTTAACTTCAGTATGAACATTATTGATACTCGGGTAAATTATTTGGGAGGGTAAAGTTTACTTTTGTCACAACTGTTGCCGAATTTGTAAGTAGGTAAATCTTCATAATATTCATTTATTTTATAACATAAACAAAAATAATTTTGTTATTCTCGTAAAAAATAATCTATATTAGAGTAATGGTGTGCGCTGGATCACAAACCACGTTATACAGCGGTAAACATATTTTTATTTATTTATCATGTATTTTAGGTGACAAAATCAGACAAAGGGAGGATATGACCCCCTCACCCCTCCTCTGTGAAGACGCCACTGGTGCACAGATGTTAACTTATGATACTGATTGGCCTTTTATATCCATATAAAATGTTTTATTAAAAATATACATGATTTTAGTATTTGAAAATTAAAACTAAATCTGCAATTTTATTTATATCTTATATAAACATGGAAATTATTCACGAAACATTTTATGTTGATCCTATCTCTAAATACTCATAAAAATTAAAATTTTGATCGTATTTATAGAATGAATATATCATTTTCGATATAATATATACACAGATAGCTGTGACCGATTATATACGCTCTTAATAATAGTTGTGTTCTTATGCGTTTTCTTTTGGAAATAGTCTGCGTTTTTTGTGTTCTAAACTCTAACATACAAATAAAAGTTCTCGTGAAGTTTAGGGTCGTTTTTGAGTTGGACCCCTTAATACTTCCTCCCTTGAAGCTTTTTTTTTTTCGTTCTACGTGTAGACGAACATAATATTAAGGTGAAACATTTTATATTAAACCTTTGGGGTAAATATAAAATTACATTCTTCGGTTCGATGCAAGATGATTAACCCCCTCCCCCGTCATGGGCATAACACAGACTTATAGGTACACAATAATGTCATTACAATTATATATTAAAACTTGTACTACATGTTGTTACCTGTTGACAGCTGAACAAGTGAAATTTCAGATTGGTTAGCCGAATCATCGCTTTGTAAGGTGGTAGCTGACGCCAACGTTTGTTGTTGGTTGTTGGTTATACTTGGTTTGGCAGTTGGTCTAATGATCGAATTTATAGTGGCTGACTCGAATAAGGAATCACGAGTCGTGATGTTTATGAACTTAGAATAACTTAAGTCACTGCTGGAAAATCTATCATAACGGAATGGTGATTCTGTGGTACTACTGAGTTGATACCGAGGTGGACTGCCAGAACCTGTTATTTTATTGGATACATTATTGTTTCTGTAAATATTTTCTACGTCATCTTCGTTTTCCACATCTTCTCCGAAGAAATTATTATCAGGAGTAGTCATCATTGGTCGGTAACCACCAGTGCCAGGTGATATTGGTGTAAAACTATCTTGGTCTACTGTTGATGTCCTTTTTGGCAATGAATTTCGTCTGCCGTCCTTGAGTCTTTTACCTGTGCCTTTGGCTTGGCCCCATATATTATTCAAATTCAGTGGTGGTATTGGTACGCCGAAAAACGTGTACGCAGTCCCACCGGCATTGCTCTGCACCGAGTGGTCATCGGTGAAAGAAGAAGAAGTATTAGGCCGAGAACTGGCATACAATGTTGGTGTATCGCCAGGTACGTAGTGTGATAAAATTGCAGGAGATATTGTCGACAATGTTTTCTCAGTTGAAAAACCTCTTTGAAGTTCAGTTTTATCATTTAGATCGACAACGTCATCGTAAAAATAATCAGTTTCTTCTGGAAGTGGTTTATTTTTATCTGATTCTTCGCTGTTTGTCCACGTTGTAACCTTATTTGATGTCACTGTGTTTGCTAAAATAATATTTAAATATTAGTTATAACCCATGTTTGTAAATTTGCAATTGATGACACGTTTTGTTTGCTACTCTTACCATTACTAACAGGAACAGATTCAATTTCACAGCCTGGAATGTTTTCCTCTATACTGTTTGATTCTTTTTCGTCGCAGTGTTTGGATGTAAAGGGCATTTCTCTAAGCAAAGTACCGTCGGTGCACCTTGGCCCAAAACTGTCTGCTGTTGTTCTCAGCCATGATTGCAACCACTTCATGTTACAAGCACAGTGTACTGGATTACCTATGTATACATAATATAGAATTATCAAATAAAATTAACATTTTATTCGGCCAGCTTATAATATTAATTTATTAATAAATTCATATTGTTGTTTCAAAAACTATAGCATTATTTGTATTTGTTTTTGTATATGAACAATATAAGTATTATAGAACAATTATTATATAAATATATAACTGCAGTAAAATCAATTATATAATATGTATAAAAAATAAAATTTACCATCGACATCCAAACGGGATATTGTAGGTTTGATGCTGTTAAACGTGGATTCTGAGAGTGAAGTCATCTTATTGTCCCTTAAGCTTAATACTCTTAAGCGGCTCATTCCTTCAAATGGGCTTCCCACAATATTACACAATCTGTTGTTATCAAGCTAGAAAATTAAAAAATGTCAGTATAATATTTTCATAAACATATTTTACAACAATAATTATTATATGAATATTTTATATAGCTTACTTTTAACATGATTAATGAGTGCATATTTTGTATGCTTCTAGTAGTTATTTGTTTTAACTTGTTATGGCTTAAATCAAGGACTTCCAAGTTTCTTAGATTATTTAAACCGGATTTTTCCATCCCATTCAAATAGTTGTGGCTCAAGTTCATCATAATTAAATTTGGTATACCAACAAATGCATCACTAGCTATCTCATTGAGTTGGTTTTGTTGGAGCTCGACAATTTGTAACATTGGTAGATTCACCATAGCTGCACTTGGTAAGGAAACCAATTTGTTTCTAGCCATTTTTACAACCATAAGATTTGGCAAGCTTTGAATGCCATACGAAGGTAATGTATTAAGATTATTTCCTTCCATTTCTAAAATAGTCAAATTTGGTAGATGTTGGAAGGCCCCTTCATTTAATATGTTTAAGTTGTTTTCTGATAAGTACAACTCTTTCAAGTATGGCATTGATGAGACCATTCCACTTTTCATTTGTTTAATTTCATTATTTCTTAAATCTAGAATTTTTAATTTTGGATTCGCTGCTAATGATGACGGAAACTCCGACAAAGAATTATGAGAAATAGATAGTTCCTCGAGTTCCCTAGATAAATACACAAATTAATATGCATTAATAAATAATTATTTAAAAATAATGCTCAAATAGTTGAATAGTTTTATTTTTAACTTACTTATTTACAGAAAAATATGATTCATGAATTTCAGTTAGTCTATTATGACTTACATCCAGTTTTTTCAATTTTTCATTATTAGCCAACAAAGAAGGTTCTAAAATCTCTAATCTGTTACCTTTCAAATTTAATTCGTTCTAAAAAACAATATAAATTAGGTATGTTTTGTGTTAAATCGTATTTATTTAAACTCACAAGAAGAGGCAACTCCTTAAAAGTATTTGGATGTATACTTAGTAATTTATTGTCATTTAATGTCAGAATTTCTAATTGGTTTAACCCACTGAATGCTCCATTATCCAGCTGTTGCATTGAATTGCCACCCAAATAGAGCCAACGCAATAAATTTAAAGCAGTCAACGAATTTGATGGTACTCTATGAATTCCATTATCTAAACAAATAAATTCGATTTATAATCAATTGTTTAAAATATAACACACTATTTTAGTATCAAAACCTATGATAAAATCAGTTAATTAAAACCCTAACCTATAATAAACAAATGATTTAATACATTACCTGAAACATCAAGAAGCTTCAAGGCCGGTAGATGTAAATCTGTTGAGCTATCACTTGGCAAGCTCATTATTTTGTTATGAGACAAGTATAAGTATTCGATGGCTCTTGGCATACCACCAACAAACTGAAAATTATATTTATTTTTCATTTTGAATATATTCATGGCAATAAGAATTAGAAAAATATTTTATAATAAAATTGCTATTTTTTTATGAAAAAATTGTGTGTTTATTACATTTTCATATATTTTTTTATTTTCTATCTCTATACGTTTAAATACAGATATAATACAAATAATTTTATAAATGTGTACATTTTACTGCTGAGTGCTGGGGTTCTTAGACTGTTTAGTAAAACAACATGTATTACTACGTCTGTGGTTAAGAATCAACACAAGTATTGAGAGAAATATTTGTTTAAACTTGTGACGAGATAAATTTAATCAGAATAGTAGAATATTAACAGTATCATGTTAGTTTCTTCAGTAGAGGAAACTAAATTTACATAATCATTAAATTTGTATTTTCTAAACTAATATTTAATAAAAATAAAATACATACTTGGTTAAGTTTATTGTAACTGGCGTCGAATTCATACAAATGGTATAAATGTGATAGTGTTAGAGAGTTTATGGAATCTATGTTGTTATGAGATATATTGATGTGTTCTAAATTTGGAGTATCGATAAAAGTGGTCGGATCCAACGATGAAACAATATTGTTACTAATATCAAATCGTCTTAATGATGGTAATGTAGCTAGCATACGTCGCTCTAGTTTGTCAAATTTATTAAACGATATATCAAGCCCTTTTAACATGGGTAAATTCCATAAAGGAATTGCTAGATAATTGGACAGTGAATTATTGGACAATCTCAATTCTCTCAACATTGGCATAGCGGTGAATGTTTCTCTGCCAACCCTTTGTAGTTTATTATGTTCCAAATACAACATTTCTAGTCTTGAATGTCCCTGTACAGATCCATAAATGATGTCCTGTAACTGATTTCTGCTGACATCCAAAAAACGAAGTTTAGGAAACATGTCTAAAATTAGTCTTATTGTCATCGCGTTGTCTATAGAATTTTCAGATAACCATAATTCTTCAAGGTTGTTATCACGGACAGCAGTGAATGACTCCGGATGAATGTGACGTACTTGATTTTTGCTTATATCGATTGACTTCAGATTGGGCATTCGATGAAACGCACCCCTGCGTATGTCACTTATCTTATTCGTGGAGAGGTAAACGTGACGTAATGACGGTATATCTACAAATGTGGCTTCATTAATGAATTCTAATTCATTTCTATCTAGCCTGATTGTAGTCAATGAGGTCAAGTCTCTAATTGCTCCTCCGATATTAGACGCATCAGCTAACTTGTTGCCGACCAATGATAGTTCAACAAGTGATGGCAAGCGAGCGAAAGCTCTAGGGTGCATCCACGTGATTCCGCAATCAGTGAAATTTAACAAAAATAGTCGAGGCAAATCCTGTATTGTGCCTACGTCCAATTTTTGCATTTTCGGAGAACCAGTGATATGCAACTGCTCTAGAAATGGTAACCCCAAAAAATTTCCTGTCCCCATGTTTATCAGTGAAGATGCTTCGATTTGAACATACCTCAATCTAGCTAGGCCAGATATTATTGGTAGTCTCGTTAATGATCCTGCAATAAGCGATAGCGCTTCTAGTCTAGGTAACACCATTAAACTTTCCTCTGGAAAACTTCTAAGCTCTGCTTCTACAATGAACAATTCTAGTATGCTAGTTTCTTGATCAGACAACCAGTTAGATGCAACTTTTTGAATTCCATTTTCACGTAACATTAATCGTATAATTTTTAAAGTTGAAAAAGCATTGGCAGGCATTGACGAAATAGCGTTATTCTCCAATATTAGTTCGTCAATTGGATCAGTTACGGATGACGCTAGCTGCTTCAACTCATCTAATATGGTCTTAGAATCTCCATGACTACACCTGAAATTATATAAAATTTCAAGTAATTATTCATGACTAGTGAAAAAAAAATGCTTAAATTAAAATAACCAACTACAAGTATGTGGATAAACTTAAGTGGGAAAATAATATTTTTTCTCTAATGATTATTTATTTCTTACATTTATATTAAGATAAAAGAGAGAGGATTTTATAAAAGTGTTGTTCACACTATCACACTTAATGCATATCTTCTGGAGAAATTAAGTTTCCTTTCACTATAGTAGTATAATTATTAACCATGTATGATATAATTTGAATTCCAAATTATATAACAACATAAGACAATAATTTATTTATATTGCACTAGATTTGATTTAATATTGTATACTGTATAGTATATTTTAAAGTGCAAAATAAAGAACAATGGTGCATTATATTGCAAATATTTTTAATTTCACGAATTAGTTTTAATCTTTTTATCTTATAAATCTATAGTAAATTATACTTTTTAAACAGATATAATATTTTTAATAAGCGTTTGATCAAAATTCAAGGCACTCAAGACCATTTTTTTTTGTGAAAAATTATTTTAAAATTATCAAAAATAAAAAAAATGTATTATTAGTTATTGGTAGTAAAATAACTTATAAAATCGTGTAAAATATAAACATTTTAAAATGTACAAATAGGAATTAATGCATAATTATTGCCTTTCAGATGTTATATTACCTACCTATTTGAAAACTTTTATATTAAGTAGTTCCTAATTAGTAAACCTATTTTGGTAGGTATCTTTTTCTTGATTTTTTTTATCTAGCAGGTACGTAGAAAATATAATATATTTTTTATTATTTGAATAAATCATTCATTTTAATTTATTAATATTAGTTTGTTTAGTGTATTATATAAATAACCTATTCAATTATATGTACCTACAATAACAGAAAAAAGGGTCGTTGATATTCTATTTACCAGAGAGTATCATTATATTTATACGGATAGGGAAAATATAACTATCTAGTATCTATAATTTATATAAAGTGGTTAAACTATTCAATAATGTGTACCTTTTTTTCTATTGATCAAAGTTTGTATTTTCACCCGTACTTACACATTTATAAATTGATTACATTGGAGGGGGGGGGATGTACCTATATCTAAAACTAAAATCTTAACATTTGGTACAATAATTTATTGTAATGATATTAATATTATACATTTTGACAAGTAAGTAGATAAAAATAATCTCGAACTATTAAGTATTTACAGTTATTCATAATTTATACTAAACGGTGTATAAATATTAAATAATAATTTTAATTAGTACGTAAATAGATACCTAATTTAAGGTGTTGTGAAACTGAATATATTTGAATCTCATTCTTATTACTTACATTTGTATAATATTCCATTAATATAATTAAATATTCATAATATATCATTATCGTTAATACCTATGTTTAATAATTAAGTTACGTATGTTCCTACATACGAACTAAAACTAGGTATTCATCAAATTCTCAGCTCATTCAAATAGAAAGAAAAACTCTAGATAAAAGTATAAATAGTGTTATAATTTATAAATGTTAGGCATAAATAAATTGAAAGTCGATTTACTTGTGAATATGGTACACGTCTTATTTATAACAACATAATCGTGAAAAATATATTCTTACTGGCAGACGATGAAATCTATCTTATTACGTCTACCTATTGTGTGGGTAATAAAATAATGGCGTGTCAAGACAATCACAAGGAAAAAAATATACCCACTTATAGATAGGTATAGATATACAGTGAGGCTAATACAGTATAATAGATTGTAAAAACGTTTCTAAAAACTACGACGTCAGTAGGTACCTATACGTGCAAATAATAGTATGCCGAAGATTAGTTTTGCTACAACCACGTGTGGGAGAAGTGTGAAAAAGTCTTTAAAAAAATGAATTTACATTCCTTTTTTCATTGAATATAGGTACTCCATTTTGTTTATCTGATGTTGCCTAATTTATTATAGCTCAATGCCAGAGTAATGCTAGTAATACACATGGCGCAGTATAGGTATTTAGTTAATGGTAGGTATATAGTAAATACCTACCTACCTATCAATAATGGATAATGATAAAATAAATATACACTAAGCTCATCGCTTTTAAATAATAAATAATGAATTTTCCCATTGGGAAATATTTATTACTAGGCTTTAAAATTTAACTCTCAGACTTAATACTATGCAATACCCATATATATTATATACATAATATTAGGTACATATATAGACAATAAAATATACCTATTACTTATTACTTATTAGGTACTAGAACATTTTAAGAATACAATTATAACATAACATCTATGACAATATATTCATAAAGGTACGCATTAATCTATTTTAGAAGATAGATAGTTTACAATTGAAAAATAATTGAATTATTAATACTTTGCACAATACATTATCAAACCAATACCTGAGACCTACCAAACATTTATTTTAACATTATCTTAAGCATATTTTATTGATACACATTGGCCTGTGCATTAAAGAATTTATTTATCATTGCAATATATTTGATATAATAACGCAATAATAAAAATATTTAAAATTTAATAAGGAATGATTAAATATTCTCAGTTCTGAATATATGACGAGAAGAGTATAATTGATGAGATTTTAACACTAGAAATAATTGTTGATTTCCCTGGTAAAATTTAAAATATGTAAAATGCAACTTAATCGATGTGCAAACAATGATTATTCTGAGCATAAAGCTTTTTAGTAAATTATTTCGCAATTTCCAATATCTAAGACTATTGTCTACAATCCATCTATACTTAGTTAGATATTTTAAATTCAAAATACTATGTTATCCTTTAGATAAATAATTAAATTATGATAATAGTTGTACCTATATGTATTTAATTATGAACGACAATAATAGTAATTTATTATGGTGATGTAATTAGCTTCTTTTGAAATTACTTATGCGATATATCTATATAATTTATTTTCTATTTTCTTTAACCTACATTAGGAGAAATATAATATATGCTCTATATAAATATTGTCGTAACTATAAGGGTCTATAGGAAGCTCAGTACCCCCCCCCCCCCCCCCAACACATAAACCTTTTTTATGTTTGGCACCAACTGGTTAAAATCCATATCATTGCATACAAAAAAACTGTCATGTGTTCAAATAGTTCAATGTGTAAAATATTAAATAATTATGTACACGCAATATACCTAATACATTAATAGCGTGGAGATACCTTTTAAGAATTTATTGAAAATATAACCATGTCCACCTTAACTTGAAAATTCTTTAAATGCTTGTATACATATTTGATAAAAATATCAAGTAGGTACCTGTTTACGATTATTCGTTTTCAATAACAAAGTCAATTTTATTCAAAATTACATTTGAAAATTATTATGTTATTTAAATATACCTACTTCAGTTTATGAAGTGTTAAAATAATAGGTACCCTGTGTATGAAATAGGTACCTACATTATAATTATAATGTTCTCTTGTAAGCTGAAAATGTATTATTCTAGGTAATACATAAAATAGAATAAAATAATGACAATATGCGTAGTATATAGGTACCTACTATAGTTATATTGTTTCTGTGAAAATACGCTATACTTATACAGCATTCAGGAGTTAGCCGTATAAGGCGGTTATAGCGTATGGGCAGGGTTGGAAGTTGTTTGTACCAAAATGTTTGGTGCCCCTTATTGAACAATTAAGTGATGTACCTACTGCTAATATTATTAAGTACTTGTGGCCTTTAGATTTTACTGAGAAAATATAAGTAGAGGGTATTTTATCCACAGTTGAGATCTAATTATAAATGTACTGCTGCCCGTACGAAAACTTAGTCCTGCTAGGAACCACGCTTGCTGAGTGCCCTGAATATGGATCTGAATTCAGAATTTCTCCAATTTTTTTTCAATTTAATTTTAACATTTAAAACCTCCAATCCATTTTAAGATCTTGAAATCTCAGAAATTTTAATATCTATTTATTATTATGTAACATTTATCGAATTAAACAAATAAAAAAAGTGGAATGCCGTTCTAAAATGAATTTATTAGTTAACCATGAATTTTAATTAGTTTTTTCTTTTCAGAAGTTTGAGGTGTTAAAGTTACCTATACGATAATAAATCGTAATAATGGGCGTTGAAAGTTTAATGTATCATAGATCATAACTACTAAACACTTTACATGTTGCCTATACTGAACTCCTTAAAAAACGGACTTTTTTGACTTCACTTTGTGTCAAGTGTCGTCAGTTTCTTTTAATATTATAGTCATTAGGTATGGATGGTATGGTATATACGTTCATCGTTCACTTATAGGTAAGAATACGGTACCGAGGTTGAAGAAAGGCAGGTAGGGGAAGTTTGATAAAAATATAAATGTCCTTAGAATGAAGAGACTAGTTTGCGATATGAGTGGCTTAGTTTGATTTATAATTTATTCAGTTGTGTTTTACTTTTTGATTTTTTCAAGTACATAATAAAAGAAATAATTTGATTTCAAAAAGGTTATAATTATGTTTGGTTGTTATTATTATTTATTTGAGAGAACCTAGAACATTTAATTTTATAAATAATCTAGAACTATCAAATCAATCAATCAGCGGTAAGTAATACTAAACAAACATTTTATGCAACAGTAAAATAAAAATGTGTTTGTTAATTTTAAATTATTTATCATTAGATCGATTAATTAAAATTAACTCTGCCATCTGTACGATTACGTTTTAACCAACTATCTTCGTTTCTAATTCATAAATCATTTTTATATTTACCACCTTATATGAATGAAAATATGTCACAAACTATAGGTATACTTTATCACTAGGTAATCGGATGTTGAAACTAAAAACAGAAAAATTAAAATATTCCAGTCCCTCCTCTCGACAAATTCCTGCGGAACCCCCTGTACCGCGAAACACATACCTTGTACCTTATAAATGGTTCGGACCACTGACCAGAATTTATTCAGAGTTGCGAACACTCACCAAATCTGTATTTCGTTGTCTCGGCTGGAACACTTGCACCGCCGGACGGCATCACTGGGCTGTGGGCAAGTAGCCGCAGCGGCACTCGGCGTCCTCGCAGTCACAGCTATGGCGATGATGACCCATAGCAGTGCCAGCAGACCGTCGGTGGACCGCATTGCGTCGTCATGACCTTAACCGGCCACGGTCTTCTCCTTTAATCCAAATAAAATTATAAGATTAATTTTACAAACAAAAAAAATTCTGATAAAAACTAATTTTTAAATAATTTTATTTGGTACCTATGTATATGACGTAAGATAGTACCGTAAATATGATTTTTTTCTGGGGGGGGGGGGGGGTGGTTAAGCCTTAAAGTCCCCCTGGTGTTCATATTTTATGTTTGTTTACATTTATTGCAATCGAATTCAAACGTGTCTTATCATGCTTACCAGAAGAAAGTTTAAATATGTCATATTTAAATTATAATCAGACTGAATATATTTAGAATAGCATCCAAATAGTAATATTATATAATAAAATATTGATAATAGGTTAATGTACTATTAAGACTTGTCAGTAAGTACTGTTAAAATGTCAATCTTCTATTGGTTCATTCATGTATTTTAATGACATCATTTGATAACATTTTTAATTTAGTTTTGTTTCACTTTATAAATTTAATTAATAGTAAATAATGAAAAAAATTTCAGTGTGTACCAATTTTAAATTCTCGAGGGAAGGAGGATAATAATTATGATGTACTTAATTAAAATAGACAAAAACGCTTATAGATTATTTCAAAACTCCAATATATTATAGGATTCATTTATTATAACAGTCCAATACTGGAATAAAATATAATTAATGAAAATTGATAAATTATACAATATACCTACACATAAAACAAAAAGTGTGTCGTTATTGTTGCTCACAATTTAGGCTCTATGACAAAATCATGACTAGAAAATTCATAAGCTTTTAGAGGGTTAGACCAACAAATAATCAAAATAGCACGAAATTCTAAACATTAAATCTTTAAAAAAATACTATCACATCAAGCTTAATGATGTCTATGTAAACCACCTATATAATAGATTATTATGCCTTTGTTTGATAGTAATAATAGTATAATGCTCTTCTTAACCTTTTTATATCCACGTACCACATACATAGTTTGAAAACTTGACTAAATAACTTCTTTTTGCTCATCAAAAACGTAAACATTATTTTACATGTATGCAATTGCATTTTATTATTTAACTACAAAATTATGATAATTTAAGCATTTAATGGAATTCTAATTCTTGAGAATATACTCAAAGCTAGAGTATTTAGGTAATGTTCTTTTTCTTCAATAATTCATTGCATATGCATTATTTAAATAATTATATGTTTTATATAGTATACAGTATTACAGTATACCTATCAGTATTACTATATTATAGATCACTAGAATTATACTTAATTCAATATATTTTCTTAGTAAACCAGAAAAAAAAAATTAAAATATAACTTCTTGTTCAATTAAGCAATGCCGTTTTAATAAAATTATAAAATTATATATAAAATAAAAAATGTATAATTAATTACTAATAGTACTATACCAATAGTACTAAACTTCAAACATAATCACATAACTAATATGACACTAAAAAGAAAAAAAACGAAAATTACCTACCCGGTAATAATCTGCAAGAGAATATTCTCGTTTTTTTATTTCTTTTAATTATTCTTTTATGAATATTCTCTTGTCATATCACTAATTACAGGTAGGTATTGAGTTA